AATATTTAACAGATTTTGTTGTATTCAATAAAAATGAAAAAATTGGTAAAATTTTATTATTTGTATACGTTCTTTGGTTCTTTTGACGAAAGACATTGCTCTTAATAAGAATAAAATTCTTCTCTTGTGAATATAAACGCGCACGACGATAATAAATAATTAACGATAAATTAAACCACTGAATTTCGAGTATAAAAGTGCAAATCTCAACAATATTAACACATTATTATTTTAATTTTTCGATGTTACGTCGATCTTTAAATGCAATTTAAGAAATCTTATATTAAATTCCTCGAAATTGAGAATAAAACGATAAAATGTGAAAACAGACTTGGCGACACGTACTAAAATTTCATATTGTTCGAATCGAAAGGAGAATTGATAAGATGAAGACTTGAAGACTCTCGCGCGATCCTTTGATTGTATTCGAGTCGATAAAAAATTTTTTCTTTTGGCTATAAAATGATTTGAAGTACACCTAAAGTTCTTCTCTAATATAGCTGAAATCGTCTCGAGTTGCTGGTTCGCCCGAGCGCAAAAGGCTTCCAGTGCAAAGAGTTAATTTGTATTCCGGAGTTAAGGGTATTAAGGGTTAATTTTAATTTGTATACGTATAATCGTTGTCAACGATTCTTGTAATTGATGCAACCTTAAAATGCCAATAAGAAGAAGAAGAAGAAGAAGAAGAAGAATATAAGATATTCACATGATTGTCCCGATGCCATCACCGTAGGAGACGATTCGAGGCGGATGGTGGCCGACGGTATCAGAGACACGGATTTTTTGGGAACCGCTTGATCGCCATCGAGCGATCTAAAGTACGTGTCCCACGATTCCGACACAGTCTTCGGATCCCTCTTCCACGACTCGTACATCGTGTCTAAATACTGACTGTTGTTCATGATCAGCATGCTGTCCACATTCCGAGATTTGTCGTCCTTGCCGTCGTGCTTGAAACGAGCGAGGCATGTCTGCGGGTCGCACGAACGTTTGACCTCGCCATTGCTGGGCTTGAACCGATTGATCAGCAGCAGGATGTTACGTCGGGGTCGTTGGTTCGTGTACATGTTCCCATTTGGTGGTGCCACGTGCTCGATATTGTTCGGCTCCGCGAAAACGCTCACCAGATTTTATACGTCAGCGACAAATCCTGTCGAGCACCGGGACGCTTGTCATCGTAACACTTGACGATGTCGAAGATCACAATTGCGATTCATCGAAAATTCTCGCGCGAAGTTAAGCGAAACTCAGACGAAACTATCAGATTTCTATATATTTATAATATATGTATATATATATAATCATAATCATAATCATAATTTAGATAACTTGACGATGGACGAAATAAATAACTCTTGAAGCATTCGAGGTAGAAAAAAGTTGTATACGACCTTTCTTGTAGTACTTACAACTTTTATTTGACGTATTTTTAGAAATTTTGGGGAAAAAAAAATTTTCGATTTTTCCGAGATTTTTCCAAGGGGTACCCCTTCAGATTTTGCAAAATTTTCGTTTTTGGCCAATAACTTCTAAACCGTTGGAGATACGGGAAAATTGCATAGGACCTTTCTTGTAGAGGACGACGAGATCTACAATTTCCATGTAAAAATTTTTCACTAGCATCAATAGTTTACGAGTAATTTGCAAAAAACTGTTTTTTTGTTTTTCGTCAATAACTCATAAACTATTGATGCTAGCGAAAAATTTC